GGTGTGTGTGGGGGCTGGCTGCTCGCTGGGAAGCGCTGGAGTCCTGGCCCCGCTGGGCTGTTCAGCCTCCTCTGCTCAAAGAGGATGTAAGGCCGGTTGGATATGCAGAGAGGAGCTGATGTGCTTTGCAAGGGAGTGACTTTGAGACAGCTCCTTCCTACCATCATTCCTGAGCAAACAGCTGCTTTGTATTTTACCAGAAAGAGCAATGCAGTGCTACACACAGACACAGAGTCAGGTAGTACTCTTCTGTAATTAAGGGCAGTGAGAGGTAGGCTTATAGTAATGTAAAGAAGAACTAAAGCTGCTAATAAGCTTTTAAGCAGAGGACTGCTAAGCTGGAGTTGCAAGGAGATACAATATATCAGTGTCAGCCTGATAGTGTGGTAATGTGGTAGATTCCCTAACAGCATGAACTAAATGTTAGATTGAATTCCTTCCTGAGGAGTACCATCATTGTGGGTTGAGTTTTAAGTGCTGTAGGAGGGCTATATGGTTTTCCTGAACATCTGCACAGAGAAGCTGTCTCCTCTTTAATGCTTCATACGTTCACTCTGTAATACTGTGAATGCGCGTGATGCTTGGTGAACGGCATCCGAAAGGAGGCTGTAATGAGAGAAATCCAACTTAAATGTTTTATTTTGGTAGCAGTGAAGTAACTTTCTCAGTGTTGAGGCAAATACGTTTCTCTGTGTTCATTGAGAAATCAAGATATGCGGCTAGTTTTGGAAATAATTTATTTGTCTGCTGCTGTGTCTATAAATAATTTGTCTGCCGCTCTTTTATCATAGTCCTGAGCCTCCTTGCCTGTAAGAGACGTTATCTTTGTTTCCTCTAGGGTCCAGTCACGGTCAAAGTCCAGGTTCCCAACATGCAGGACAAGACGGAATGGAAACTGAACGGCCAAGTGTTGGTGTTCACCCTGCCGCTCTCAGACCAGGCATGTAGCTTATTAACCTGGCCTCTACCCCGTGCTGTTTTGCTACGGAGTTTCTTTACTTTAAGAACAGCAGTTGACCTGCATGGCAGAAGCTGTAAAACTGGATGTTCCCCACGCTGCAGCCTCTTGCCCAGCAGGCTTGCGTGGCTGGGGGGAGCAGTGCTGCCCATCTGTACAGTGAGGGAAAAAAGCCTGAGCAAGCTCTTTAATTCTTCCTAGGTGTCTGTTATAAAGGTTAAGATCCATGAGGCTACAGGGATGCCAGCTGGGAAACAGAAGCTGCAGTATGAGGTGGGTATAAGCCCTTCAAATATTGTTTGTTACTTCAGTGCTTTCTCACACACAAACTGACTTTTTACAAGAAAAAGTTGTAATGTACCTCCTGAGATACTGGGAAGAGCAGAGGAAATGTTTTTCATTCTGTACAGCACACCTGGTTACAGAACTGCACACCGTTACAGCAGGACAGGCCTCTAATAGGTGGCATCAGTGAATCTTTACATTGTCGCTCCTGCAGATGAGTCCTCTAAGCTTGATGGCTTTTTCTGAAATCTGCCTGTTATTTTATTGGGGGGGTTTGGACATTTAAATACAGCAGTCTGCTCCCACCGATCTGTCCTGTGTGCTCTGGAAGGTGGGTGAGAGTACCTTGAAAACCTGGTGGCTCAGAAGAATTTCCCCAAAACACAGAAGGAGAAAGACCTCCCTCTCTTCCTCTGGAAACTGGAGCTGTTAGAAAGGCACTGTTCCTTTTTAATAACTTGGTCCCAGTCATGCATGTGCACAGGCACAACCTGCTGCCTAAGCAGTGAACTTTGTGCACTTACCTCCTCAGGAGTTCATCTACTTCCAGATAGTGTGTTGACCCTTAGCAAGAAAGGAAGCTTAACTGATTTTTATTTAAGATAAAAAAGGGGGCGAGGGGGAGTGGAGCCTGAATAACTTCACTTGTTGTGGTGACCATCTTTATATGTCTGTAGAAGTGTATATTGTCCATTTGTACTCTTGCATCATTCCCAGCATACCCACCTCCTCCAGTGCCCCATCTTCTGAGACACTCCTGGATCTCTCCAGGGCTTTTCAAAGCCAGGAGGGCTTCAGCTGTGTGAGGTTTTGTGGGAAGGGAGCATTAAGATTTCTGCTGTGACTGTTGGTTTGTTTTATTTTTTTTTTTTTTTCTTTTCTTTTCTCCTCCCCTCAGGGCATCTTCATCAAGGATTCGAACTCTCTGGCTTATTACAACATGACAAGTGGCTCTCTGATTCACCTGGCACTCAAAGAAAGAGGAGGCAGAAAGAAATAGGAGCTGTGGAGCCCAGAGACATAACATGGCTGCCTTGCCACTTGAGTAACCCCAACCCTTGGAATCCTCCAGCCTTTTAGGGGCTACTGTGACTGCCTGCCAGCTCTAGTTTGAAAAGAGAGACTATGAACCCTGTGTTTGCGTGGCTGATGAGAGAGGGGAAGTTGCTAGAGCCCTGAAGTGTGTAATGTAGTGACCTAGTATGTAACTGCAGCAGTCTGTTAGTGATCAATGCTTTGCCCGAGTGCTGGCTCTCCACTGAATTCCCTCATGAAGCAACATTGAGGTCATGCCCAGCTTAGTCTGGATCCACCTTTGAGGGATTTACACTGACCAAGAACATCATCTGTCTGACTACAGTGCTCGCTGCTTCATTTAACCTTTTTCTAATTGAAAACTTCTTCCTTCTCAACGTACTTATTTAGCCCCTTGTTCTTTCTCTGTCTCAGATCTATCTGCAAGAGCCTTTTGCACTGACCCTGGCTTGGAAATTTATCTTCCCTCAGCATGAGTGTATGCGGCTGTTCCCTGCGGTAAAGGAGATCTGGGTCTGTGCACACTGAACGGCTTCGTGCTGTTTTCTGTACAGCCTGTGATTTGTTTTAATAAACACGCATTTCGGTGTGGGATTGTCTGTCACAGCTCTCGTTTTGGGGTTTTAGGTTTTTTTAGATGGAGATGCGTCTGGCTTCAGAGCATTCGGGTGGGTTGTGAGGAAAGACATCGGGGTTTTGTAATTAAGCACTTTATAGTAGGAAATCCTTTTATTTTCTGTGACAGGCTGCAAGAAAAGGGTTTTGTTAAAATTTCCCAAGTGCCACACAGTTATTCCTGAACATAAAGCATGTTATGTCTGTGTGTGGGGGCAGAAAGACTACTTTGAACTTAGTGGGAATTTTATTGGAGAAGGTGTTTCACACTTTATCATGCAACTGTCATCTCTTGCTTCTGGAGAGCATATAGATCTGGAAAACAGATTATTGCTGTACCTTCAATCAGAGCTGTGTTGCAGTTTGGTAGAAAGGTTTAATTGACAGAATTAGGTGGCAAGGAAGAGGGGAGGGTGTCAGTGATTTGGATACTTCTTTTGGGAAAATCCAAAGCCAATGATGATTATTATTTTTTTTTTTAGTGGTGATCAGGCAGTACAGGAACATCCTGTTTACCTTATTCTGTGCTTAGGGGAGAGAGGGGTGAAGCAGGAGGGAAGAGCCAGCATCTCCCTGGGCGGGAGGAAGCCCTGCTGCTGTAGGGAAGCTGCCTGGCACTGGCCCAGCCCAGGTGGCCAGTGGTCCCCTGGTAGTGGTGGCCAGCTGCTGTCTGACAGATGCCCACGTGTCTGAGCGCTGCCACGCTTCGTCACACAAAGGCAGAGCCTGCTCCCACCCCAGCTGTAGGATCCTGAATTCGGAGTTTCCCGGCAGGGGGGTTGGGAGGTGGAGGGTGCTCCTGCTCCGCAGGAAGGTGCAATAATGCTTTTGCTTTTAGAAACTAGACAATAGGTACAAGCTTGGAGAAAACAACACTGGTCAGCAAGTGGTGTTTTCCAGAACTGACAGAAAAAAAAAAAACAAAACTGCCAAGAAAGCTCTGAAATGGAGAAGTCACGTTTTTACATCCGGTGCAGGGCCCCAGTGTGATGGGACTGTAGTTAAGGTCACCCAGCTTTCCCAGCTGGGCTTGGTGGGGGGACCCCCCCCCCCCCGTGCCCGAGGAGCTCCCCGCTCCGTTTCCTCGATGCCTGGCTGAGCGCTGCCCTGGGGCTCGGGTGATGTTTTCAGCCAAGCTGCTTTTACCAGCCTGGCAGGGCCGAGCTCCCAGCCCCGTGCTTGGACAGGAAGGCTTCCCCCTAGAAATAGCTTTTGTGGAGCTGTGCCAGCCCCTTTCTATCTAAATATTACTGGTAGATGTAACGGAGCGTGCGTGTGTATATCTAGTACAAACCAACAGTTACGGGAGCCTTCCACTTCAGTGGGGAGGACCCGCAGGGCTCAGGCTGCCAGAAAAATCTGCAAGTAGGTTGAGTTGTTGCTGACTTTAATGAGCTTCGTTCCTTTGGCAATTTACCTGGCACGGTACCCGCTTTGAGAGGGGCCTTGGCTCTAATAAAACCCTGGTTATTTGCTGTTTAAGGGAGAAAACGGAGCTCAGGGCTGTGAGCAGAGGCTGGAGGTGGCACCCAGTCACTGATAGATCCTGCGGTGATTTATTTTTAGAAGAGCCAGGCCAGTTTTACCAGTCTGGGCTGAAGGGGATGAGGCTGGGAGGTGGCGGGGTGAAGTGGCGGTGGTCTGGCTGCAGGGGCGGGAGGCGGGGGGGGGGGGGGGGGCAGGCCGGGCGTGTGGTGCCCTTAGAAACGGAATAACGCGTTTGCCTTCGGCCTCAAACCAGTCCCTGACTGGAGCACGGGAAAGCAGTCCTCCCCCGTGCCCCATCCCAGTATGTGCCCAGTGTAACCCCGGTGGTGTCGCAGCCCCAGCCTGCGCGCAGCCAGCCTCGCTGGAGCCCCGGGGTCGTCCCAGTGCAGCCCCCGGCCCCAGCTGCCGGCCCTGGCCCCGCCCCTCGGCTCGCCTAGCCCCGCCCCCTCCGCTGGCACGGCCGGGCCCTGACGGACAGCTCCCTCCGGGCCTCTCGGCCAATCCCCTCCCGGGGCGGGCGTTCCCCGCCCGGCGTCCGTGCGTCTGGGTTGGCGGCAGGCCCGCTCCCGCCCAATGGCGGCGCGGCGCGGGGGCGTGGCGCGGCTGTGGGGGGCGTGGCCGCCGCCGTGGCCGCGGCATGGAGGAGCGGCCGCGCCGCCGCTGAGCCGCGCCGCCATGGCCAAGAGCCGCGGGGGCGGCGGGCCCGGCTCGCCCGGCGGCCGCCACCACAGCCTGGCCGGCACCCGCGAGAGCCTGGCCGAGCCGGGCGGCGACGAGCTCAGCTCGCTCGGCTCCGACTCCGAGGTGAACGGCGGCGGCCCCGAAGAGCGGCGCGTCGATAAGTTCGGCTTCATCGTAGGCAGCCGCAGCGCCGAGGGGCCGTGAGTTGGGGCTGGGGGGGGGGGGGTGCGCCGCCGGGTCTCGGGGCGCTGAGGGCCCGGGGGAGCCGCCCTCACGGCTGCTCAGCCCCGGCGGGGCCGAGGCCGCTGGGCCGGTAACGGCTCTTCCCGCCCCAGGGCGGGGGGATGTCCTCCGCCACCCCCGGCTCCGTCCCGGGGCGGCTTTGCGGGTAAGCGCCCACGCCGCTTTGGCGGCGGGGGGGGGGGGGGGGGGGGGGGGGGGCTGTGTGCCCCGGTGCCTCTGCTGGGGGTGCTCCCGGAGTCCCCCCGCCCGCGGGGCAGCGCTTCCCCGGGGTGTTTAAGCCCTCCCGGGGTGTGCGTGTTGGGGAGGGGGGGGAGCTCTCCCGTGCCCGCCGCCGCCCCCGCGGACCCGCAGCAGCCGCGGTGCGAGCCCCGAAAGCTGTTCCCCGGTCCCTCCGGCCTCGATGGGAGGGGAGAGGCTGGGAAGCGGCGGCCGTGGGAGGGATGGCCGGGAGCCGGCAGCAGCGCCGAGGCCTCGTCGCCGAGGTCAGTGTCTGGTTACCGCCGGGCCTCTGCCTCCTCCGAGCGCTGGCTTCCGCCGGATTTTTTGGCCACCGTCGCCCGGGGGAGGCCGGGCCGGAGTTGGGCGCCCGGCATCGGTCCCCGCTGGCCGAGGGGCCGTGGCCAGGAGGCGCTGGCCGGGCTCCATCCGCGGAGGAAGCCCTCGGAGGAAGCGGGGCTGCCGAAATCAGCCTGCGGCTGGGCCCCGGGGCGGTGCCGGCACCCGGGAATGCGAGCTGGTTGGGCAGCCTGCTCGGTGTTTGCCTCCCTGGCTTCGCAGCGACGCCCGGAGAAGCGCAGGGTCGTGGCAGCCTGCTCCTCTCCACCTGGGACGTTACCTGGTCCGGGCTCCCCTTGAGGTTTGCCCACCCGTGTGCTCTGGTGTCAGTTGGGCCCCGTGCCTCAGTTTCCCCATCTCTGAGGAGCAAAACGTTTGCCCTTCGTAAGCCCACGGGCTCTACTTGCCGGGTTGGCAGGGAGAGAAGGCACTGGGGGTTTGATTGCTGGCCCTGGGCAAGGTGCGTCGCTCGGGGTGATAAACCCTGTCCCTTCCTGCCAGGCTCACAGCTCAGCACCGTAGGAGTGGGGTGGCCTCTCCTGCCTGGGGTGCTGCGCCCCGTCCTGGCCACACACCCCATTTTGGGGACGCTTTGGATGTCCCGGCTCTTGTCCCTAATGCTGTCCCAGGGTTCTTGGGGTGGATGTCCTTGTCCTTGGATTTCAACAGGCAACAGCTCTCCCAGCCAGAGCTCCTGGTGCTGGCTGCTCCTGGGGGTGCTGACAGCGTGGTGGCTCCGGTCACTGGGGACTGAGCCTTCCTCCCCTGCCCTGCAGATGTGCTGGGGCCCAATCCTGCCTTTCTCCAGAGCTTTTATCCGCTCTCTGTCTGTCTGGGAGTGGATAAGCAGCAGCACGTGGCCTCCTCCCGCGGCTGGCAGAGTTGGGGTCCCTCTAGCTGTGGAAGGGTTTTGGGGAAGCGCAGGGCGGGCAAGTGGGGTATCCCAATGTCTGGGAGCACGGGGAAGGGTCAAGCTGTGGGGTTGTCACCCGTGGCGTGGGTGCAGAGGAATACCTTCCCTGCATAGGGCATCTCACCACCTCCCGGCCTGGGGTGCCCCCACCCCACCCTCCCCACCTCGGCCATCTGAAATGCCTCCGGTCCTCGCTCTGTGCCCGCTGCCAAGCAGTCATCAGCTGGTAACAGCTTCCAGTCTGGGCTGGCTGGGCTCCAGCAGGCCCACGGCCAGCTCCTGTATCCAGCGTCCAGCGCTCCCGAGCTTCCCACGCCTCGGAGAGCCCCAGCTCCTCCGGCAGCCCAGGCTCCCCGGCTCGGGGCCAGCGCTCCCTCCGTCCCCGTGCCGGGTTGCGCTGCTGGCCCGGGAGCTGCCGGCCGTGCCCAGCCCGTGCTGGGGAGGGTGGGGTGGCCACACTGAGCAAAGTGGATCCCTTCGGAGCGGGTTTGCTCTCTGAAACAATCCCGCTTGGCCCCGGTTGACCCGCTGCGGTGGGTGGGACACGGCAGGGAAGGGCTGGGCAGGGACCAGGGCGGTGCTGCCAGCTGGATGCGGCTCTGGGCTCTCCGTGCCGCTTGCTTTTCAGCTCCTAACGCGGAGAGGTCTGGGATGAGGCAGGGCCTGTGTGTCCTAAAGTGGGGCTGGGTGCTCGCACCTCCCTGGGGGATGCTCAGTGCCTGGGCCACTGTCCTTGGATGATCCTCAGAAAGGATCCAGCTGCTCCTGGGATTGGCGTGGCCACAGGGCAGCGGTGGAGCCAAACCCAGGGAGGCATCCAGTTTGCTGAAGTTGGCCCTTCTTCAGTAACGGCTCGAAGGAGCTCCTGCTCTCCCTGGGATGTCTGTGCCCAGGGCCTGCCCGAGCTGCCTGTCACCACGTCTCCTCGCTGATGAAAGGCAGAGGGTGCCCAGGGAGGGTTGGAGCCTGCAGTGCCGGCTTTGGTGTCGTGGCAGCATCCCCGCCTGCCTCATCAGGGTTAAATCGGATTCCCTGGCTAGGCTGGGCCGTTGCTGGAAGACACTCCCCTCCCTCCTGGGGGACCCTCAGCTGGGCTCTGTGCCGGGCCTGGAGCAGTGCCAGGCTTTTGGGGTGCGAGCATGACTGGGGCTGCGCAGATGACATGATGCTTATGGCCCCGGCTTTCTCCGTCTGCAGCCAGCTTCTGCAGCAGGGATCAGACCTCGATCAGCTCAGCTAATGGCTCTGGCTGTGCTCCCCGGCTCCTCACCTTCCTGATGTGACCTTCTCTTTGGGCACGGGTCCCCGGGGATGCTCAGGCACACGGTGGGCGCGGTGCAGGCTGCTCCCGAGAGGTTTTGAACTGCTGGGGAGTTGGGGCTGCGCTGGCATGGTGATTTCACAGGTGGTGAGCGCTTCCGGCAGCGCCGAGCAGCTGCCAAAACACCAACACTCTCGAGCGTGTCCCAGCCAGTCAGCTGTAGGGGGCACCCAGGGTGCTGGAGAGGTGGGGGGGGGGGGCCTCTGCACCGCAGGGAGGGCTCGGCACCACGCTGACCGGCCTCTTCCCCCTCCCCATCCCACAGGCTGGAGGAGGTGCCCTTGGAGGTGCTACGGCAGCGGGAGTCCAAGTGGCTGGACATGCTCAACAACTGGGACAAGTGGATGGCCAAAAAACACAAGAAGGTGAGTGATGGCCTTGTCCCCCCCCCCCCCCCGGGGCTGCCCAAGGACAGCTGTGCAGGTGAGGTGGCAGGGAGGGACAGCTGGGTGCAGCAGTGTCCCCTCGAGGCTTTGGGGCAGCCTGCGTGTCACCAGGTCCCCAAAGACAGACAGACATATTGCCTTTGGCTGGTGCTGTTGGCTTGAACGGGCTGTTCCCTCCCTGTGACGCTTCTCATGGTGGGAGGGAAGCTGGAGCCTGGGGGGGCTGAGCCTGCGGTCCCTGAGCCAGCCCGCTCCTCCTGCCCCTCGTCTGCTCCCCACTGAGCTGGAGCCTTCCTAGGGCTGCTTTGGCTGCCTGCAGGCAGCCATGGGAATTGTTTGGTCATGGAAACTTCTGTTCGGAGCATCTTGTAGAGCAAAAAAAAAAAAAAAAAAAAGCTCCGGGTAGGAAATGTTTGAGCCTGATGTGCGTGTGATGCTGGTCTGCAAAGCTGGGGTCCCCAGGAGACCCGTGGCGGTGTGTGCTGGGTGGTTTGTGGCTCGGCCCGTTGGTGCTCCCTGACCTCCCGAGCCTGCGAACGAGGCAGGGATGGGACGCGGCGAGTCCCGGATTGCTGCTGCCTCTTCGCTGAGGCCGCTGGCACGGGCCAGCGGTGCCTGAGAGCAGCTAAAGAGCCTCCTCCTCCTCTTCCTCCCTCCTCCTCCTCCTCCTCGTCCCGGCCGCTGGCAGAGCCTCCTGGCAGCGCACCGCGCGCTGTGCTCCCAGAGCACCGTCCCCGCTCGGTGCCTGCGGAACGACGCAGGAATCCCTCATCTGTTCCTTGGCCGCTCACAAAGGATTCGGGAGAGCTTTTCGGGACATGGCAGGCGGGCGCTTTGTTCTGCGGGCAGTTTCCGCCGCTCTCCGGCCGTGCCACAGCGTGGCCTCCGGGCTCCAGCAGCCGTATGGCTGGCAGAGGAGCTCCCTCGTTCTTTGGCTGAGCTCCTGGGGCTCTCTGTGGGCCTGATGTGCTGTATAGTTTATCCTGCAGCAAAAATCCATACCCAGAGCCTCTGAGGTCTGCTCTGAAAGAGCTGCTCCATGCCTGGAGCCCTGGGGCTGCTCAGGGAAGGGTGCCAGGCCTGGCCTCAGATGCTGTCGTCTGTCCCCGCTCTGGCAGGAGCTTGGCTGCTTTGGTACGGGGCCACGGCGCGTGGGTCAGGCCCCGCTGCTTCGGAGGAGCTCCCTGTGCCTCCAAAAAACCCCCAGTACTTTTCTGGCCGCCTCACCAGAGTTGGCTGACAGCCCGGGGATCTCTTGGGCCAGCTCCTGCCGGGCTCGCTCACACCTGCACCACTCCGGGATCCCCGAACGCTTCCTCCCTCACCCGCCTGGTCCGGATCTCAGCGGAGCCACGACCCCACGTCCTCCGTGGTGCTGAGCTGTGCCAGCGCCGTGTGCCGGTCCTTGCCCTTTCCAGCCAGACCGAAGGAGGGCAGACACGTGGGCAGCTCCCACTGCTCTCCGGGAGCAGGCAGTGCTCCGACTGCTCTTTGCTGTCAGCATCCCTCAGCCCAGACGAGCTCCCGGTCCCCTGGAAGGGCACGGTGGGATCCCAGGAGCCGGGTACCCCCAGCACGGGGGCGATGGTAGGATCCGGTGCGGCGCCAAGGGGATGGGATGCTCAGCTGCTTGGCCCTGGCTGCTTTGAGCCTGGCCAGCTGGAGGGGCTGCCGAACCGAGCGAGGCGGCTTCCTTCCTGGCAGCTTAGCCAGCAGGAAAGGGAGCCGGCTCAAAAAGGGAGCCGTCAGCAGCAGCAGAACTGCCCGCAGCCTCCCTGGGCATCGCCCGCCGCGTTTCCTGCAAGCACAAAGGCCCCGTGGGGCTCAGGACCTGCCTGGGTAAACAAGCAGCGCTGCGGTGAGGGAGCAGCAAACCCTCCCGGGGACGTGGCGTTACCACCACGCTGGGGTGGGCTGCTTGGAAGCAGAACTGCCTGCTCCTGAGTTATGCCAGCAAACAGGGGAGAAGGAGCTCTGGGCAGGCGGGAGAGGCTTTGGGAGCTGTCGGCCACGGCTCACGCAGCCCTGGCACGTCTCCGGCCCTTGGCATCTGCCACCCGAGTGGGGACACGAGGCGTGGAGGGTGTGCTGGGTTTTTGCAGGGCGTTATGCTGGGTAACTGCTGGAAGCACCGGTCTCATGGGCCCCACGTTGCTGCACGCCCTGACCGAACACCGTGGGGAGATGGTGCTGCTGCTGCTCCCCCAGTAGTTGGAGCAGGACGTGGGGGGGGGGTGTCTCTGGTTTTGGCCCCTGTTGGGATGCTGGCAGCGGCAGGGTTAAGCCAGCTCAGCTCCCTGCTGCAGGGTAGGTACCGACACTGCCTCACCTGGACTTTGGTCCTGGCTGGTACCCCGTGCCAAAGAAACCAGGGGCCAACCGTGGGCACGGAGCCGGCCTCAGGAGCCAGCCATGCATGGAGCTGGGTCCAGGCCTGCCTGGGGTGAGCGGGGGAGAAAGGCCGAGGTGCTCGTCAGGATGCACCCCCCTTCTGTCCATGGCCCTGTGGGTGAGCAGAAGGGCTGGACTGGAGGCCGGAGAGCCCTCCCCAGTGCTTCCCGTGGGCCGTGCTGGCGTGGGGAGGGAGCCACCTGCTCCCCCACCTTGGCTTCAGTGTTTGCTTTTCCAGCTCTCAGCAGGATCCTGCTCTGAGGCAGAGCTGGGCTTGTTTGGAGCTGTTTGCAAGCCACAAAGCCTCGGCCGGGCTCCTGGCAGCCGTCCGCAGCTCCCTCGTCCTGGTGTAGCTCCGGCTGCCGTCCGAGCTGGCATGTTAAATGCAGTGCTGGGGAGAAAGGGGGTGAGCAGGGTCTCTGCCTGCAGGTCTCCATGCCGTCCCGTCGGTCTGCGCGATGACAGGCACCACCACGGGACACGTGGCTGGGCACCCTGTCCCCAGGGGGTGCAGGGACACAGCCCCTTGTACAGGGAGGCAGCAGGGGACCAGCCTGCGGCCACGGTGCTGGGCCTGGCTCCCGTCTTGCCCAAGGGGCCTCTCTGCTCCCTGCTGCTCCGTGATTTTCCCCGCGGGTGCTGTGTCTCCCCCCCACAGATCCGGCTGCGGTGCCAGAAGGGGATCCCGCCCTCGCTGCGGGGCCGCGCCTGGCAGTACCTGTCCGGGAGCAAGGTCAAGTTGGAGCAGAACATCGGCAAGTTTGATGTGAGTGCCGCTGCGGACCCTCCCGCGCTCCCGGTGGAGTGGGGCAGTGCTGGGATGGCTCCGGGGCTGGGGCGTCTGTTGGGGTCCCAGATGCTGCTTGTTCCTGCTGGGGGGGGGGCCAAGGGGGCTAGTGTCCCAGCCTGCGTGGGCTGACACCCAACCTGATGGGGTTCAGGTTTGGGGCAGAGCCAGGTCCTGCCCCGTGGCTGCTCCGCCAGCTCCCCTGGCCCTGCGTGCCGGAGCGGGGCTGGCACCGTGCTGGTGTGGGGTGTTGCTCACCCCAACCCTCTCCTTCCCAGGAGCTGGATCTCCTCCCGGGTGACCCGAAGTGGTTGGATGTGATCGAGCGGGATCTCCATCGGCAGTTCCCCTTCCACGAGATGTTCGTCTCACGCGGAGGCCACGGGTAAAGGGAGCTACTGTGTGTCCAGTCCTCAGCAACCACTGGGCTGGACCAGCTCATGGAGCCACACTTGTCCCCTGCAGTGTCCCCCCCCACAGTCCTTTACATCCCCCAGCTCACAGAGCATCCAGGCATGGGCTGAAAACGGGATGGCTTTCCCAGGAGCTCAGTGCGTGGGTCACAGCTCCGGCACCCGGCAGGGTGGGAATTGCTGTGGCAGGAGAGTGGAGGGAGGAGGCGCCTGGCTGTGGCCTCCATTTCGCCAGGGAAATGCCATTCCCCCTGCGTTGGGGAGTGTCTGTGCTGCTCTGCTTGCAGCCAGGTCCCTGCCTGGCCACAGCTCACCCTGAGCCAGCACCCCTGGGAGATGGTTGTCTCTCTGCCTCGCCTCACAGATCCGAGCAGGATGGGACCTTCGTGGGCAGAGCTTCCCAGAAACAGGTTATTGTGTCCCACAGCCCTGGGTTTGTGTGGAAGAAGGATCCCAGCCAGGGACTGAGCCAGGCTCGTGGGGGAAGAGCAGTGGCCGGTGGCCAGCCTGTGGTGCTGGATCACCATGCGATGCCCAGTGCTGATTTGGCCCACTGGGATCCTTGGGGAGGGGCTGCTGGGCCATGTCCGTGCCTTCTTTCCACCTCTCCCTCCCCGGGGTGTCTCTGCAGGCAGCAGGACCTGTTTCGGGTGCTGAAGGCATACACGTTATACCGCCCGGAGGAGGGCTACTGCCAGGCCCAGGCCCCCATCGCCGCCGTCCTGCTCATGCACATGCCGGCCGAGGTATGGGCACACGGCTGGGAGACCCGGTGGCCAGAGAGCTGGGACCAGTGGGGAGGGGAGACCCGGTGGCCGGAGAGCTGGGACCAGTGGGGAGGGGAGACCCGGTGGCTGGAGAGCTGGGACCAGTGGGGAGAGGAGACCCGGTGGCCGGAGAGCTGGGACCAGTGGGGAGGGGAGACCCGGTGGCTGGAGAGCTGGGACCAGTGGGGAGGGGAGACCCGGTGGCCGGAGAGCTGGGACCAGTGGGGAGGGGAGACCCGGTGGCCGGAGAGCTGGGACCAGTGGGGAGGGGAGACCCGGTGGCTGGAGAGCTGGGACCAGTGGGGAGAGGAGACCCGGTGGCCGGAGAGCTGGGACCAGTGGGGAGGGGAGACCCGGTGGCCGGAGAGCTGGGACCAGTGGGGAGGGGAGACCCGGTGGCCGGAGAGCTGGGACCAGTGGGGAGGGGAGACCCGGTGGCCGGAGAGCTGGGACCAGTGGGGAGGGGTATGGGGTCACTTCAGGGTGGTGCTGGCAGGCAGGGTGCTTGGCTCACGGCACCCGTTTGCCCCAAAGCTGAGCTGGTGCAGGGAGGTGCCCTTCGCCCCAGGGGTGCTCTGCCCGTTGCCCTGGGAGCGGGGTGGGGGTGGATTCAGGGATGTCCGCTGGGGACACTTGGGCGCTCACCCGCTCTCCCTCGGCTTGCAGCAAGCATTCTGGTGCCTGGTGCAGATCTGTGAGAAGTACCTCCCCGGCTACTACAGCGAGAAACTGGTGAGTGAAGGGCTGGCGGTGCCTTCAGTGCTGCCAGCGACCCGTGATGTCTCCAAGCCAAAAGCCCCCCCAGCTCCTCACCTTGGAGAAGGAAGGGAGCTTGGGGAGAGCCTGGGTGCTCCCACAGTCTCTGTGTTGTGCCGTGGTCCCCAGGAGCATCCTGTAGCCAGGTCTGGAGGGGTGGGCTGCTCCTCGGCTGGGGCTGGGCACTGCGGGGCTGATGCCAGGGCTGGGCTGGGATTAAGGCACTCACTGGGACTCGATGCCCTCCCTGCAGGAGGCCATTCAGCTGGACGGGCAGATCCTTTTCTCGCTGCTGCACAAGGTCTCGCCCGTGGCCTACAAGCACCTGAGCAAGCAGAAGATCGATCCCATCCTCTACATGACGGAGTGGTTCATGTGCGCCTTCTCCCGCACGCTGCCCTGGAGCTCTGTCCTGCGCGTCTGGGACATGTTCTTCTGTGAAGGTAGAAGCTCCCCACCATCCTCTTCCTCCTGCAGTGACCAGCTGCAGCCCCTGCGGCACGTGGACAGAAGTCGGGGCTGCAGCAGGAGCCCTGCCATGGCTGCTTGCCTGTACCTGGCACGTGGGACTCGTTGTAGAGGAGGTTTGGGGCAGCCATGTGCCTTGGGTGGAGACTGGGCTCTTTTCCTGGGGGCTTAGGGGGCACGTGCATCCCAAATGCACCCTCCTGTGTGTCCTGACTGCTAGCAGGACCGGGACCTGGTGCCCCACAGCATCTGCAGGACACAGTGGCAGTGTCACCCTGTGCCTCACTGCCTCGCTTCTCCCTTCACAGGGGTGAAAATAATTTTCCGGGTGGGCCTCGTGCTGCTCAAACACACCCTGGGCTCCTCGGACAAGCTCAAGTCCTGCCAGGGCCAGTACGAGACCATGGAGAGGCTGAGGGCCCTCAGCCCCAAGATCATGCAGGAGACCTTCCTGGTGCAGGAGGTGAGGTGCTGGGGAGAGTCCGGGGGCCCAGTGCTGCCCAGTTGGCCACGCTGCTCGACTGGGCTGTCCCTGGGCAGGTGGAACTGGTGTAGCATGGGGGCAGCGCCCAAAAGGCTTGGATTTGGGGTCACCTCTGCTCTGGGGGGGGGGTATCCCACACTCTGCCCCAACGGCTGCGGTGCTGAGCCGGTCCTGGGTGGCACTGGCACTGTCGGAGGGAGACGCTGGTGGCACGAGTTTGTGTGTGTGTGTGTGTGTCCCCCAGGTCATCGAGCTGCCGGTGACGGAGCGTCAGATCGAGCGGGAGCACCTGATCCAGCTGAAGAAGTGGCGGGAGACGCACGGGGAGCTGCAGTGCAAGTCCCCCCCGCGCCTGCACGGCGCCAAGGCCATCAGCGAGGCCGAGCCCCCCACCCGCAAGGCGCTGGAGCCCGTCCCCTCCATCATCGTCCCCCCCGGGCCCGCCCCGGTGCCCAAAGCCCGCAAGAGCAAGGAGAAGAGCCGAGAAAAGGGCCCTGCCAGCCCCGCCGAGGGCAACGGGGCGCCCGGTTCGGCCCGGGAGCTGCTGCACCCCCAGGTCTCCCCCCACCACCAGTCCAAGGAGAGCCTGAGCTCCCGGGAGAGCGAGGACACGTACTTGTAGGGCTGGCGCGGTGCTGGGTCCGTACCCCGGGCAGCCGGGCTCAGCTGGGCTGCGCACGCGCCCGGGCTCGAGGACGCTGATGGGGGGACCCCTGGTACCTGGTGCTGGGGGGCTCTGAGCTGGAGGGACGTGGCTTCAGGGGGACACCGTGGTCCCCGTGTGCATGGATGCCCGCTCGGGGAATGCTCAAAGCTCGGGGTGGGGGGGTGGGGGGGCATCCCTGGGAGCTCGGCCAGGGGTGGTGACCAAAGGTCTGTGCCGGGTGCCCACCCCAGCAGGGTGCTGGCACCACGAGTGGTGGGAGCCCTGGCAGGGGGTGGCTGAGCCACCTCAGCTCCCTCCCCACAGCTGGGGAGGGGACACCGGCTGCCCCTTGGGCCTTTCTCCCTGTCCCAGAGCCCCTCAACCCGCTGCCCCCCAGGGTCCCTCCCACAGCCCCCACCCTGCGCCAGCCGGGCAGACCCAGACCCAGTCCCTGAGCACTCGCGCCTGGTGCAGGGGGCCTGGGGGTACGTGAGGAGCTGGGGGGACCCCTTGCCCCCCCTCCTCTTTATCTAGTGAGGATATATCAAGCTGTAGCCCTATATCTAGTACCAAATTTACCTACTCACTGAGCCTATTTATTATTCCTCCGTGGCAGTAACCGTCGCAGGACGGGGACGGAGGTTGGGAGCTGCAGGCACGATGCGCCAGAGGCAGTGGGGTTTGATGCCAGGCCGTGGGGCTAAAGCCCCCCAACCCCCTGTCCCTGGGCTCCCCATTGTTTGGGGGGAACATTTGCCCTGCTGCGGCTCTCCCCACCGCTGCCCCCCGGCCCCGAGGCCCCAGAGGAGGTGAGATGAGATGGGTGAGCGGCCGGGTGCTCCCCGGCTGTGGGGTTCCCCCTTCTCTTCCCCCCCCCCCCCGCCCGCCCCAAGGGCTGGGGGCAGCTTTGTAAAATAAAAGCGGGGAAAAACAGTTTTGTACAAAGGGGTAAAATAAAGCAGGATTGTGTAAAGGCGCAGCACCTGCGGCTCCCACTCTGTCTTCCCCTTGGGGTCTGCTGCTGCAGTCTAAAGGGGGGGGGGCCAGGCTGAGGGGTGTCACCTCCCAGCTTTGGGGGTACACCCTGGCCAGGACCCCCATCTCCCTTGGGTGCTCGGGCCCTTTGGGGAGAGGGGGCTGGGGGTAGGAGGGTGTCCTGGGAAGGGACCTGCTGCCATCACCCCTCTGTCCCCACCCTGGCAGAGCCCCCCGGGGGGTGGGGGGGGTGGCCAAGCCCCGACCCGGCCTTGCTGCCTCACCCAGCCCTGGGGCTGCCCCTGTTTGAAGTGCAAATGGGACGACGCTGAGACCTGCCCCAGCTTGTGACAGCGATGGTGGTGGCTGCCAGGCCCTGGGGGTGGCGGGGGGGGGGGGGGGGGGGGTGTTGCCATGGGGTGAGCTCCTGTCCCAGCACCCAGACCTGCCCCCTCGCCCCCTGTCACAGCTCCTGTGGCTGAACAGAGCCACAAACCCCCCGATTTATCCCGTGCCACCCCACAGCTCGGCTTTCCACCCACAAAATGGTGCCCGGGCCTTCCTCCCTCTCCCCATGCATCCTGCAGCCCGGAATTCCACTCAGACCCTCATTCCTCCCCCCGGAACGCCCTTGTCCCGGGTGGGGGGGGTGGCTGCAGCACAGTGCCCGGTCGTGGCGTTGGGTTTTGGGGGTCCCGTTCCCCCCCCCCCCCCCCCCCCCCCCGCTCCCCTGGTGCCGGTACATCCCCGCCGCCGGGCCGGCTTGTCGGGGCTCGCCCGGGTTTGGGGCCGGGTGGGTGTTGGGGTACGGGGGGGGTGGCATCCAGGTTCCCAGTGGGTCCAGTGCCAGCTTGGCTGGGGGGGAAGGGTTGGATCCGGGTTGGGCTGCCTGAGATATTCCACCGCCCCCCCCTCCCCCGGGGGTCGGGGGGGCACCCCCGGGGGTCTGGGCCGGAGCCGCTGCGGGCAATCCCCGGGGTGCTCGGTCCCGGGGTCCCGGGGCGGGGCGGTCGCTGGCCCCTCCCGCGGCGTGGGGCGGGCGTGGGGCGGGCGTGGGGCGGGCCGGGGCCGCGCTTATAGCGGCGGCGGCGGCGGGGGGGCCGGTGCGGCGCGGCCGCCATGGACCTGCACATCCTGGAGCACCGGGTGCGGGTGCTGAGCCTGGCCCGCCGCGGGCTCTGGCTCTACACCCACCCCCTGCTCAAGCTGCTCTTCCTCCCCCAGCGCTGCAGGTACCGGCCTTCCTCCCCGTCCTCCTCCTCCGGTGCCCGGCACCGCTCCAGCCTCCCCCCCCCACCCCCCCCCGTGCCCGGCCCCGGGCGCTGGGGATGGGCAGCGCCGGTTTCTTCTTCAGGTGCAAGTTTTTCAGCTTGACGGAGACCCCCGAGGACTACACCATCATGCTGGACGAGGAGGGCTTCAAAGGTAAAGGGTGCGGCGGCTCGCGGGGTGGGCTGGCACCCGCAAGCCACGAGTTGTGCCCGTTCTCAGCCCGCCGGAGCGCAGCGATGCTCCAGGCCTGGGCCGCCAGCCTGGGCTCGTAGCCAGGCTTCCCTTGGTACGTGCCCATCCTCGGGGCTTCTGGCCGAGGAGCTTCCATCCTCTTGGCGCCTGCGCCGGGGATGTACCAGCTTGCCCGGCCGAGGCTCTGCCAGCGTGGTTGCCTTCACCCTAACAACCCCCTCGCAGGCGGAGCTGGGGGACCAGTGGGGACGGTCTGCGGGGAGCGCGGTGCCAGCTGAGAGCCCGGCTGCTCCGGGGAGGGGACAGGTACCTCCCGGGATGCCCGCTCCGGGCTCCCCGCCCGCACAGGGCGCTGCCGCCAGAACCTCCTGCCATCATTCCCTGGGCTGCTTTTATCTATTTTCCCCCCCCCGCCCGGCGAGGGCCGGAGTTTCGGGCAGAGCGAGGCCGATTTTGTGCCCATCCGGGCTGGCAGGGGGTGACCTCTCTGCCTGGGGGTGCTGCCCAGCAGCCAGGACCAAGTTTTGGGGTGTCCCGGGTGGGGTCTGAGCCCTTCCAGGCCGATTTCCCCCCCCCCCCCCCCTCCCCAGGACGTGGCATTTGGTGAACGTCCCCACCGCTGGTGACCCAGCGTGTGCCTCAGCACCGGTCCTGCCGGGGGTACCGGCCCGACGGGCTGTGCCGGAGGGTCCGGATCCTGTCCCGGCTTCCCACGCCCAAACCTTCCTGCCGAGGCCGCAGGAGCCGGCCGCGGTTTATCACCGTGGACGTGCCCCAAGGAGCAAGGGTCAGCGCCCTGGCCGCGGGGCACTCGCCACCCAGTTCCAGCTCCCACCCCCCTCCCCAACCCTCTGCTCGGGGAAGGGGCCGCAGGGCCGGGCTCTCCGAGCCAGAGCCGTTCCCCACGTATTGTTTTATTTTGGGGCCTGTGGACAAATATTCCTCAATCCCGGGGGGAGGGCGGGAAGTGCCGAACAATGGTCCTGAGAGCTGGCGGCCCCGCTGTGCTGTGTGTACCCCCCCCCCGCCCCGTCCCCGGAGCTGGTGGGGCAGCCAGCGTCCCCCCGCTGTGGGGCTGGGGAGGGGACCCCTGCCAGAGGAGGGCTGCACCCCCTCTCTTCCCTTGGGGATCCTGATTGAGCCCTGGGGTGGGTGACACGGGAACAGCGGGGTCGTCCAGTCCCTCCCCGCCCCGTGCGCTCACGGCCTCGCCCAGTGTGGTGTTGAAAAGCCATTAAGTGGCGAGTGCTGGGACCAGTCCCCATGTCCCCATGTGTTGTTTCCCCCCCCCCCCCCCCCCAGTCCCCGAAGCTCGGCCCTGGGCCGGAGCCGAGGCCGTTCTGGCTCTTCCTGCGCAGGAACAGGCGCTGGAACCACCCGCCGAGGCCCCCGGATCCCGCCCCGCTCCCCCCCTGCCCTCAGCCACGGTTTGGGAACGGGGTGCGGAGCCTATCCCCGTGATGGGGTTCCCCCCCCCCCCCCCCCATGGATGCCAGGCCCCCCTCCCCAGGGCGACCTCCCCTCCACCACGGGTGTGATGAGTTTTCTGTGGCTGGGACGCCGGGTGCCCGCCGAAGGGCTGGGTGCTTGTGCGGGGCCGTCTCCCGTGGGTGCTGCCTCCCACCTTTGCCGGATGAGCCCTGGAGCACCCTGGCAGCACCAGCCCCCCTCCTGGGCAGGAGGGTGGGGTGTGGCGGGGGGGGACGACACACAAGTGCAGCCCCCATCTCGAGGCAGGAAGGAACCGGCCAGTGCGCGCCCTCCCTGCCAACAAAAGCAGATTTTTGGGAGGCAGCCCTGTCCCCCGGCCGGCTTGGGCTTGGCCCCTCTCTAGGCACAAGGTGCTGGCACCCCTGGGATGGGGGGGTGGCCCTTCCCTTGTCCCCTCTGGTGCATCCCCCCCCCAAGCATCCTGGGTGCTGGATGCTGGGCTGGGTGCTCCACGAGAGCAGGGGATGAGCTGGGCAGCCCCAGGTCCCTGGCGATGCCGGTTTTGGGGTTCAGCACAGCCTGACACCCCCTCACACCCAGCCGGGGGTGCTGGTGCGGGAAGGAGAGACGCATCCCAGGCTCGGGGGGGGGCGTCCTAGCCCTGCTCATCCCTGCGGCCAAATTCAGATGCTGTCTTGGCACGGGGAGCAGCTGAGCACTGTCTGGCTCGTTCCGCTTGTGGATGGGGCTGGTCTGCGTCCCCACACCAGTGTCTCCAGCCCCAAGCGTGGGGCTGATCCCGTCCTGGCTCTGCCAGGCCAGCTCATCTCCCGAGGGACAGTGTGACACGCGGTGCCAGAGCCGGTGCGAGCTCTGCGGCACGGACAGGGAGCGCGGCCCTCGGATGCCGGTTGGGCTGCGCTGATCCCCAGGAGCCTCGTGCCTCAGTTTCCCCCTTATCCCTCGCAGAGCTGCCGCCCTCCGAGTTCATGCAGGTGGCGGATTCGACGTGGCTGGTGCTCAGCGTTGTCTCCAACGGCCGGGCGCCCACCGGCTGCCAGGCCACCGGGGTCACCAAAATCGCCAGGTCGGTCATCGCGCCGCTGGCCGAGCACCATGTCTCGGTGCTGATGCTCTCCACCTACCAGACCGATTTCATCCTGGTGAGGATGGGGACAGGGACGGTGGTGCCGTTGGCTCCAGCAGAGCTGGGTGGGGACCCTGGGGGGGGGGGGGCTGTGGGGAGGGGTGGCGGTGCTGGCCCTGATCCTGCCCCCCCCCCCCCCCCCGGGCCAGGTGCGGGAGCGGGACCTGCCCGTGGTGATCCACACGCTCGCAGGGGAGTTCGACATCTACAAGGAGGAGAGCGGCGAGTGCGTCCCCGTTGCCTGCGACGATGTGAGCAACGGCTTCCTCAAGCCCAAGCCGGGTGAGCGACACCAGGTCCCGTGTCCCCCCCCTCTCCTCCCCCCCCCTCAGGACCCCCCGGTCCCCGGTGAGATGCTCCAGCTCCCGCTGGCGGTACCCGTATCCTTGGGGGACCCCCGCTGTGCGCCCCGGGGTGGGGGGGTGCCGGGCTGTGGCTGCGGTGGCCGCGGGGTGGCACTGCGGCACTGTCCCCAAGCTGTCCCCAAGCCTGACGGGGCGGCTCTCCCCCTCCCAGCCGCTAGCCCCACGCTGCACCCCGTGCAGAGCCCCCAGACCCGCTTCTGCGTCCTGACCGTGGCCCCCGACACGCTGCCCGCCATCGCCACCATGCTCATCGATGTCCTCTTCTACTCCCACAGGTGGGTCCCGGGGACGGGGACCCAGTGGTGGCCCCCTCACCTGGGGCCATCTGAACTGCGGTGGCAGGTCCCTGCCCTTGCTCCCAGTGGCTTTTCGAGCCCTGGGTGTGTTTTGCAAACTGGTTTTGCCCTCCCAAGCGTGCCGGGGGGCTGCAGCCACGTGGGTGCTGTGGGTCCCACTGCCACCGTGGGAGATACGAGCCCCGAGGTGACCCAGGGGACGAGCCCGGGGCGGGGGGTTTGCAAAAGGCTGGTGGGAACGGTGTCGGGGCGAGGGGATGCTCCTGGCTGGGACCTCCCGTGTCCCCTGGGATGGGATCCCTTCTGGTGGGACCCTCCTGCTCTGGAGACACCTCGGCGTTTTGGGAATGCCCTAAAACCGGGTGTCACCCCTGTCCTGCTGCCCCCCAGCCTGGCAGCTGTACAAGCTGCAGGCCCTGTGGGTAGCCCCTGCTCCAATCCCCCCTGTCCCCCCCCCGCCCTGCGGCATCCCAACGTGATGCTCAAAGACACCCGGTGCCCCCCACTGAAGCCCTTTTCCTCCTAATTTTGGGGGTTGTGGCTTTTTTCCCCCCCCCCCACCCCGTGCTGCAGCCCCCCGAGGGAGGCTGGGGCCGGCAGCCAGGACCTCGACTCCATCACCTTCTTCGCCTTCTCCCTCATCGAGGGCTACATCTCCATTGTGATGGACGCCGAAACCCAGAAGCGGTAGGTGCCATCCCTGGGGGGGCTTGTCTGTCCATTCCTCAGGGCTGGGGGCTCGGGGAGGTGGTGGTGTGTGGGGGGGTTACACTCGGGTCCCCCCCCCTTCTCTCAGGTTCCCCAGTGACCTGCTGCTGACCAGCTCGACGGGGGAGCTGTGGCGGATGGTGCGGATCGGCGGGCAGCCCCTCGGCTTCGGTGAGTGTGGCGGCCACGTCCCCCTCCCTGTGCCACCACCGCCCGTCCTCCCCCCTCCCCGGCGTGGCGTGGGGGGGGGGGGGGTTGCTTCGGGGTGATGCTCTCTCCCTGCCTGTCCCCACAGCGGGGCCACCGCTCACCCCGGGGTCCCTTTGCCTCCCCCCCCCCCAGACGAGTGCGGCATCGTGGCGCAGATCGCCGAGCCGCTGGCCGCCGCCGACATATCGGCGTATTACATCAGCACCTTCAACTTCGATCACGCCTTGGTGAGCCCCTGCCCCTCCCTGGGCACCCGCTGCGGTGGGGGGTGTCCCCCCCCCCGGGGCTGACACCCCCCTCTTGTGTGTGTGTGTGTGTGCCCCCCCGGCAGGTCCCCGAGGAGGGCATCGCTGAGGTCATCCAGCTGCTGCAGCAGCGCCAGGAAAGCGGCAGATAGCGGCTGGCTGTCCCCACGCCGGGTGGCCCAGCGCGGTGGCACGGTGGGCCCCCCCTTCCCCCCCCCCCCCCTTCCCCTCTATCCCTTATATTTGTTATTTTTTTAATTTTAAGTCTCGGTGTGGGGCAGAGCTGGGTGCAGCTGGGGACGTGGGGGCTTCGGGGACCCGCTGGCCTCGTGGCAGTGGGGCAGTGTCCTGTGGGAGGGGGGAGCAGTCCCCACCGTGCCACCCCATGGGCGAGGTCGAAGGACAGCCCCGTGCCATCCTCTGCCTCCAGCCCTGCCCGTGCAGGTTTTGCGGGGGGGGGGGGCTCGGCAGAAGAGTGGGTGTCCCCAGGGAACTGCTGGAGGAGGGGACGTGGCAGGGGGGGACGTGCCAGAGAGCTGTGATGTGCCACCATGGTGCTAGGGGTGACAGCCCAGGGCTGGGGGGATGTGTCCCCACGCCCTGTGTGTGTCCCCCTTGGGTGGGTGGGTGGGGGGGGGGGTGGCCGTGATGCTCTGGGGGGCACCCCTGGGCCAGCTCCGTGTGCGTGAAAGCATCCCTGGGGCTGGGGTTCCCCCTGGTGCCCCAAAAATCTCCAAGGTGAGGGGTGAGGAGGCTGTGGTTGAGCCCCAGCCCTGTGTCCCCTCTGGGGTAGCCCCATGCCCCTGCCTGGGCTGTCGCCTAGCGTGGGGGGACAACGCTGACCCCCCGGCTCCTCCCAAGCTGTATTTTCACATAGTTTTTAATAAGTCAATAAAAGTCCTATTATTTTTATTTCCATTTAGCCCTGGGGGGGTGGCCCAGAGCCAGTCCCCAGGCTGGTGACGGGTGGTAGGATGGGAGTGTCTGGGATGTGACAGGGGGACGCGGCACTCCCCGTTCCCCCCCTCTGTAAGGTCACCAGGATGGGGCCAGCTCGCCTGCCACGTATTTTGGGTGAAAAAAAAAAAAAAAAGGGTGAAAGCTGCAGCCCCCAGCAAGTCACTGGCCCTGGGGAAACCGAACTCCCCCTCCCCCATTTCTGCTCTCCCCCTGCCCCACGCTGGGCCAGCTCCCACAGTCTGAGGGGAAACTGAGGCACGAAGGGCCAAACTTGACCCCTGGCCCAGGGATGCCCCTGCCCTGCTGTCACCACATCCCCACATCCTCTCCCCTTGCTGGCAGCAGGGCACCCCCCGGTGAAATTGGGGGGGGGGGGGCTGTCCCCATGTGGGTGAGCCCCCCCCCCCCCCCGTGCCCCCCAGGGGCTGCGCTTGGACAACGAGCAAGACTTGTCAGGAGCGGGAGGGTGGCAGAAACCTCTTTGGGGTGTTTTCCCCCGGGGTGGGCAGCTCAGCGGGGCTCGGGCCGGAGCGTGAATGCAGCTCTTGCTCCCGCCCTGTCCCCAAAAAACAGCCCCTTGCCCAGGGCCTGGCCGGGTCCTCCCCACGTCAACTCCCACACGCTCGCAAGCCGCCGGGTTCTGCAACCTCCCCGGGCGCTTTCTTTCCTGTCTCACTCTCTTGTCCAGAGTCATGAGACGCTGGTGACGCGCATCCAAGCGATGAAGAAATTGCAGCCGGCCCATGCGGTCACCGCCGCTATTTTTGTCCCTATTGGATATTGCACAGTCCTCCGCCACCCGCTTTCCTCCAGCGGGGTGGCACCACGGTGGCCTTGTCCCTGCCTGGCCCCGCAGGGACCCCGTGTGAAGCCCTGGGAGGTGACAGGGCTGTGCCGGGGGGGTGGGGGGCCAGGGCCACTTGTGGCCATGGGGCATCTGAGGGTGGGTGCGTGCTGCCCACGTGGTCCTGCTCACCCGGCCGGGGTGCCCGGGGGTCCTGTCACAGCACCCCCCACACTGGTGGGGTCGGGGAGGGATGGATGGATGCGGATGGATGGATGGATGGATGGATGGATGGATGGATGGATGGATGGATGGATGGATGGATGGGTGGATGGATGTTCTGTGTGAATGGGCGAAGGGATGGATGCTCCTGGATGGAAGGAGGGAGGGAGGGATGGATGGATGCATGGATGGATGGATGGATGGATGGATGGATGGATGGATGGTTCATTATACAGATGATAGATGGATAGACAGGTTGATGGGTAGGTGGACAGATGGAGGGATGGGAGGATGGAGGGATGGGAGGGTGGAGGGAGGGATGGAGGGAGGGAGGGATGGAAGCATGGAGGGATGGAAGGAGGGAGAGAGGGAGGGATGGAGGGGTGGATGGATGGGTGGAAGGATGGAAGGACAGATGGGTGGACATACGAACAGAGGGTCAACAGACTGTCTAGACAGACAGATGGATGAACAAGCTACTTCAAACAGATGTGGGGAGGGAAGGACGTTCTCCTGGCTCCTCCACCCCTCCAGGGCTGCCCCGGGCACAGCCCTGCCCACTGAACCCAGCCCGGCCACCACCTCTGCCAGGGGATGTCCCGAGGAGGAGGAAGAGGAGGCAGCTGCTGGAGGAAGCAGCGCCAGCCCTGCTTCCGCAGCAGGGAGTCCTGCAGGTCGCTGGGTGGCTGGGGAAGGGAAATTTTGGGAAAAGAAAACATTTCTTCTTCTGGAAGTGAGTCACGGACGTGCTCTTCCGCTCCAGAGGAGATGTTATTTCTGGATTGTCCCCCTGTGATGCCACCAAACCCTCCGAATGCGCAAATTCGGCACCGGGCGGCTCCTGCTCGTGCAGGCACCTTTTGATGGTCACCAAAATCAACCAGATCGCAGCACGTCTCAAGAAGCTGATAAAATATATTCGTTTTGATGGGGTGGAAAAAGCCCCCATCGGTGCCGGGCTCCTGTTGGGCCCCATCTGCCGGGAACGGGGAGCTGAGGGGGGAAGGGGGTTTGCTCCGGGGGCCGTGCCGGGCCCCCCAGCAGCGCCAGCCGGGCCGTGCCAGCCGGTTTCTCCTGCGGCAATATTGCGTAAGCGTGATGTGGCAGCGAGGGCACCGCTGCCCTCGGCCCCTGCGCCCTTGGGCAACACCCAGGGCCCTGTGCCGGCACCGGCTGGTTGTGTTTCCTCCCCGGGGGCACCCATGGGTGCTGCTGGGCTGAGCGGTGCTGCTCGGTGTCCCCGACTTGGTCAGCACCTGAATTCGTCACCCAGAGAGTTGGGGGGGGGGTGGGTGAGCAGAGGGATGGACAGAGAGAGCATCCAGCCATGCCGGGATGCTCCGTACTTCCTGGGCTCCCACCTCCCTCCTTCCCGGGCCAGATTTTCAGCTTCCACAGCTGGATTCGGGATGCAAAGCCCCACTGTGATAGGACACGGGTGTCCCCACATGGCCGATGTCCCTATCCCTGGGTGCCAGCCCCGCTACCGCTGCTGCCTTCTTTTGCATTTGGGTTTCGGGGCAGCCGAGACCATTTTTGGTTCGACCAGCCCATTGGATGCCGAGCAGCGAAACCGGGGTGACTCAAAGCAACCCTTTCCCAGGAAGATGGGTTGTGGGGATCCAGCGGCACCGGTGCGGCCGGATCCGGGACGAGCAGCGGGACCGCGGGCTGGACCCACCAGGACTCCCTCGAGGAACTGAATCGAAGAACAACCTCATCGGCCGGCCAGCATCATTTCCTCCCGCCGGGGCGGCTCACCCCGCTCATTGGCCCCCGGGGCACGGCTTCACTTCTCGCTGGCTCGCCGTTGGGTCCCGGGTGCCTCCTTCGGAGGTGGGGGCGAATGGGTGCACTTTAAAAGGCGAGCTTCCCCATCGCCGAGCCATTAAGGAAGTCGCTCGTGCGCCCGGCAGCCCCGTGCCGAAACGCCCTGCCCCGGCCATGCGGTGCGACGGGCGGCCCTTGGGCGTGCTGGCAGGTAGGTGTCTGCCCGTGTCCCGCAGCTACCCTCTCGCTCGCGCGCCTGCCGAGGCTGTCCCCTCCGTGCCGCGGCGGTGTCACCTCCCAAGGGCACCAACGGCGGGTGGGATCATTCCCCCCACCCCCCCCCCGCCCATGGCACGTGGGATGGGGAGCGCCGTGGATGGGGCACCCCCACGGGGGGGGTCCCCCTTGGTCGCTTGGGGCGGGGGGGGGGGGGGGGGGATTGGGTCAGGAGGGGGCACGCTTTGGGATCAGTTTGGGGACCGATGGCCGAAGGTCAGGGCTCAGCTTGCCGGCGTGGATCCTGCACCCTGCGCAAACCCTTCCACCCCCGCCGGGCAGCAGGGCCGGGTGCTGAGTACCGGTCCAGCGCCGCGTCCGAAGTCACCGCTGGCGCAGCGGGGACGGCATCCGAGGGGCTGGAGGCAGGAGCGGCGCCGCTGTCCCCTGCTTTGCGGTGGCCCGTGCTGGCAGGGGGAGCTGCTGGGGCGACCGCCGCGCCTGGGCTGCGCTCCTTGGCTGCTCGGTGGCATCTTCATCCTCCTCCTCCTCCTCGCCGGGTCCCCAGCAGGCTTTTGGCACGGGGCGGGGGGGGCTGGCTCATCCCTGCGGCAGGACCGGGGCACTGTGGCGCAGGGGATGCGCGTGCCCGGCACACGCCGTTCTTGCCTCCAGGCCTGATGCCAGGCTGATGGGCACGCAGGGCCAAGCTCTCCCCGCGGCAGCTCTCACCGTGGCACGGGGACCACGGCGCCCGTGTGCCAAAGCTTGTGCCTTTCACAGGGAGAGGGGGCTGTCTCCCTGCACCCCAGTGTCGCCCCATCTCCCTCCTCTTCCTCCCCAGCTGTCACCAAAGGGCTCTTCATCCTCTGGGCAGTGCCGGGCCAGGGGGGTCGGCCCCCGCAGCCCCCCACCTTGCAGCAGATCCACGCGCTGGTGAGGCACATGGCTGAAGACGCGCAGGAGCTTTTCACCTTCTATGTGAGTTCCCTTCCCTGGGGCAAGGGCTCACTCTTGTTCCCTCCGTGGGGGGACACAGGGCTGGGGGTGTGTGTGTGTGTGTGTGTGTCCCCATGCTGCTCCCTTCGAACGTCCCTGACCTTCCCCTCCGCATCCCCGGGCAGGAGGAGAACCAGCGCCTGACCATCAACAACCTCTGCCGCACCAACCGCCCTCCCGAGTGGCTGCGGGGAACGGTGACAGGGCCCGGGGGGCTACGGGGGCTGCGGGGGACCATGGCCCGCATGGCCCAGGAACTGCAGAACATCATCCGCCACCAGCGCGACCTCAACCCCCCCGGCGCCGAAATCCTTCGCCGCTTGGCCATCACCCACCTGAAGGTGCGAGGGCTCCTCAGCAACCTGGAAGGGCTCTTCCCAGCCCCCAGCCCCCGCCCCGGCCGCCGCCCCCCGCCCGGCCCCACGGCACCCACCAAGGTGTTTCGGCAGAAGCTGGAGGGGTGCCGGATCCTCTGGAGCTACAGCCGCTTCATGGCCAAGCTCAGCGCCCAGCTGGAGGCCAGGAGCCGCCGGGAGCGCCGGGAGAAGCGGAGATTGCGCCGGGGCTCGCGGCTGCCCACGCGCTCCTAGAGCAGCCCCGCCGTCACCCGAGTTGTCTCCATCTCCATT